TGAATGATGTATCTGGGTCACAGTGATTGGCCTCTTTACTGGAGACTTCAGAGAGCATCTCTCAGCACCTGACAGCTCTGCGTGTTCGATACGATATCGGTACCTGAGTCAGCAGCAGTGACAGCTGCTCCATCACAGACCTCAGTTCACCTCCCCGCACAAATTAACGCTGTTCATCGTAAAAAGCAATCACATGAAGCCAAACCGTCCATAAATTTAATTATACAACTGCATTTGAAATGCCCTAATTAAACTTTGTCCTAACGATACTGACTCTCAAATGTTGTTCGTTTAGAATGTTCTGCGTTTGTAACATTAGTTTTGTACTCGACATCTGTTAAGCGTTGTGAAATGACCTTTGTGCAATGATTTTTTCTTAAAATTGGGCCGGGATGTTTTAGTCAAGCCAAGGAAATCTGTCCAGTGAGAAATACTGAGTTGTTTCTTGAGATGGTAAATTTACTACAATACACTTTTAAGTGAAATCGATGAATGAACAGGTGTGACATCATTTCCAACAAAATCAGGCAAAAAACAATGTTCAAAACTGGAAACTCTTCTGGAAAACACCTTCAGACTCCCACTGGTCCCTGCCTGGCGATTTTGTAACTAGGTGGGTGTGGCTCTGGGGCTCCGCCTTCTTTGACGATGCGTTGAGGTTAGAAACAAATAAAAACATGAACACACTGAAGAGCTGCTTTATAATAGAAATTAAAGTTGTAATATTAATTGAAAGCAACACTTGCACTGTTTTTTCATGTTTAATACTGTAAAGCTCTTTGCTTTAAAGCAGTCAAATAAGCGATTCCATCTTATTTTGCAATGAAGAAATAGGATGTTCGCTATATTTCAAGTTTTTTTTTTTTACCCCAAAGCGAAGAACGAAAAATAACTTTTCCATGAGTGTATCAGGGTGTTGATATGGAAGCTTGTTTCCACCACAAGAAAAAAAAAATTATTGTGACTTTTTATCTTACAATTCAGACTTTTCCCCCACGTGATTCTAAGAAAAAAAAAATTGCAAGATACTCAACATTTCCTGATATAAACTCAGAATTCTTACCTTTTTTCCTTTTTTTCTGAGTTCACAACTCACAATTCTGTTTTCCTGTGTTCTGACATGGAATAAAAAATAATAAAGGTAATTGCGACATTTGATCTCAATTCTGACCTTTTCTCAGAATTCTGAATTTATATCTTGCAGTTCTGACTTCGTATCTCGCAATTGTGAATTTATTTTATTTTATGTATTTATTTATTTGTTACTGTCACAGAATAAAAAATTAAAAAGGTCTGGATTTGTAAGATGCAAACTCAGAATTGGGAGACAAAATTCAGAGTTGCAAGTCTGAATTGTGAGATAAAAAGTCGGAATGACCTTTTTTAGGCTATTTTTTTCATCCTGTGGCAGAAACAAGCTTCCATACCTCAAGGATAAGCAGATGCACCACTTAAAAACCCATATTTGTTTTTTCTACTGTACAGACCGTATATTCTGTTGCCCTACACCAACCCTACCCCTAAATCTACCCCTCACAGGAAACTTTCTGCATTTTTAGATTTTCAACTAACTTAATTCTGTATGATTTATGAGCTTTTGTACCCGTGGGGACCACAATTTAGGTCCCCACCGTGACACGAGTCCCCATGAGTCTGTGTGTAGTCAGGTTTAAGTCCCCACCAGGATATATAAACCAGTACACACACACACACTCACACTCACACACACACACACACACTGCTCCCCCTCTCTGTCTCTCCTTCTCTCAGCATCATTCAGAGCTTCATCTCCTCGGCTGGAATCACACAAGATGCATCTGTAGGTTGGAATCACTCCATTGGATTTTCTGAGGCTTTTCCCTGCACCGGATCTCGGGATAGATGCTGGAAACGGACCGTGGACGGAGATGGGATGAGGGCTGTTAGAGCAACATGTTGAGGAGTCCTCCTTACCGGACCTTACTGATGAGGAGTTGAGAAGCGGACATCCATCGCCCGTCATTGCAGCTGCGCGCTTCGAAGCTCTTCATGTCATGAATAACTGACGCTTCCGTTAGGACTCGTTTTTGGACGGTCTCTGTGTTGTTATGTGGTCTAATTGCGCGGTTATGTAACTCTAAGTGCTTTCCGTGGTAGGAAATACCGAGTCTATCGGTATCGCTCATGCTCCGGTGCATGCCTGCGCTCGCTCCCTCGCGCCGGTGGTGTGCACCGTGAATCTGCACCGAATCTGCACGATCGTCCCTCCTGCAAGTCTGAATTGTGAGATAAAAAGTCGGAATGACCTTTTTTAGGCTATTTTTTTCATCCTGTGGCAGAAACAAGCTTCCATACCTCAAGGATAAGCAGATGCACCACTTAAAAACCCATATTGGTCAACCAGGTTTTGTTTCTGGTTTAGGCCGCCGTTGAGCTCCCGCTGCGACTGTGTCATTTTTTGGGAAAGCTGTTGCTTTGACCTCCCCCCCTCTGTTCCCAGTCGAGTCGCTCTCCTTCTATCCGACCACACACACACACACACACACTCACACTCAC